CTTGCATCATTAGCGGTTTATTATTGCAGACTATTTTGCTGCTGGGGTTAGACAGGGCAAGTATAAAAACCAAGACACAAAAGAGATGTGTTGGAGACTTGCAACAGAAGGCTGGAAAATAAGCAGGTGGATGAAGACGTAGCCTTTTTGGCTTGGTTTTTATCTGTTGGGGGTGTTGTTGTTTTTTGGGGGGGTGAATTTAATTTGACCTTATACCTTTAATTTTAAGAGCTGAACAGCAGGCCCAATTAGTTGGGCATAGAATCTTGCTTTCTTCTTATTCAAAGGATGCCCAGATAACATGTTTTGTACCATACTTGTTGTATACATGTCCAAGAAGGATGCCAGCATGGCTAATGAGCAATGTCAACTGAGTAAAAAGACAGTGGATGTCAAGAAGGGCTCCTTTAAAAAGGTTGGAAATGGAACCAAATAAGGTGAAAAGATTGGAAATGGAACCAAATAAAGTGAAATGGTTTTTGATGGGTTTTTGATAGTTCTGAATGTTTTGAGTATTATTATTTTTTATTAAATTGCATTGTTTGAAAATTTTGATGTTTGCCACCCTGAGTTCCTTTGGAAGGAAGGGCAGGATAAGAAGTGTGATTAAGAAATAAAAACGATCACAACTTCAGCAAAGCAAACATGAGTTGGTGTTATGGCAAGGGAACAGGAAAAGAGTTGAAGAGCATGTTGCTGAATTTAAAGGACAAAATAATTTAAAAAAAATATTTGAATGCACCTCTAACTGGAAACCAACCAGGGAGGAGAGTAGACTGTTAGGTAAGAAAGGATCTCTGAAGGAGAGCGAAACTGGATGGAAGGAGGAGGGGCATATAAAGATGTAAATCAAACTGAAATGACAACAGCTGAACCTGTCTCAGAGCTAATCGACGATTTAAAAATTAATAAGTCACCCGAGAGTCTTTAAGGAACTCAAATGTGAAATAGCTGCATGTCTAACCAAGGCATGAAATTTGCCCCACGAGATAGTCTCCATGCCACAGGACTTCAAGATAAGATGACATTACCACCACCTAATCAAAAAAATATTATTAAAGGGATCCAGGATATTAAAACCTCATGGGCCATAACTTCTGCCCTGGGAAAATTGGTGGGAAGCATCCTTAAAGCTAGCTAGAGAAGAACAAGCCTTGCCAAAACAGCATCAGCATGGACTCTGCAAACAGAAGCCCTACCTCACTAACCTTTAAGAATTCTTCAAGAGAGCCAAACAGAATAGATAAGGGAATTCTTGGATCCTAGTCGGACTTCCAAAAAGCTTTTAACAGAGTTGTTCCAAAGAGCTCCTGAGTAAATTTAGCATAGTGGTATCAGAAGCATCAACACCAGTTGACCAGCACAGATGACTGCTTTGAACAGACATTGCTGGAGTAGCGTAAGAAGCTTGGTGTGGGTTCCCATGCCACACAGCTGAAACCTGAATCAGCCTATGGTTGTTGTTGTTTGTGGTGAGGGAAAGGCACTTTGCACATGCTCGTGTGTGCTCTGTTCTTCATATTCCGAAGTTTTGCTCTAGCAGCATGGGGCCTGGTTACGAGAACAGATGGCATGGTATTGGTGGGCTTGAGCTACATCACCTTTCCATTTGAAAAAAATAGTATGGCACCCTAATAGAAGCGGAGAAGGGAGAAAACAATAGCTTCCTTAAGCTTAAGCCATTTTTCTTCCTCCCCTCTACCAATATAAACCAGTTGGAAACCAGCTTAAATGACTGTGGCTTAATGATGAATGTGCGATAAACAGATTTTCTGATCCAGGATGTGACCACACTTCAACACACCTTCCCTCCTTCCTCTTCGCAATGCATAGTACCGCATAGAGTCAGTGTGCTGAGTTCAGGTACAGCCACAAAAACAGCTGTGAGCTCTGGGCCAGCCGACCCATGAGTCAAAGTGAGGCAACCACCTCAGGCGGCAGAATCCACAGGGGCAGCAGATCCCAACGTAGACATTTATTCCCCGCTTGTTCCTGATGTAGGTCTTCACTCCCCGCTTCTTCTCTGGTGGGGAGGGAGGCACCAGGTGCCAAAATGTATTGGGCTGGGGAGGAAGTTGTTTAAAAGCACCAGAAAGGGGGGGGGGAATAGGGGAAAAAACCCTCCAAACATTTTGAGAACTTTCTGTCTCCCAAGTTCTATTCAAGGTTGGCTGGAGCGAGATGACACCCAGCAGACAATGTTCTTTCAGCTGGTAAAAGCAGAGGGGGAGATGAGCACTTCGACCGAGAACACCAGCAGCAGATGGCCTTAAAACAGGAAGCTGTTCATTCTGTTTGGGCAACAAAACATAGACAACAAAACTCTGTGGGAGAGAAAGGCAGAAAAATATAGGAGAGGAGGAGGCAGATGGGGAACAAGGAGAAGAGGCGAAATGACAACTATCTTCAAATAATTGAAGGGATGCCAAGTAGATGGCAGAGAGATTTCTTTTCTGCTGCTCTGTCGTCCTCTTCTCCTTGTGCCCTCAATCTTTCCCAGCATCAGGGTCTTTTCCAGGGACTCTTCCCTTCTCATGAGGCGGCCAAAGTATTGGAGCCTCAGCTTCAGGATCTGTCCTTCCAGTGAGCACTCAGGGCTGATTTCCTTCAGAATGTATAGGTTTGATCTTCTTGCAGTCCATGGGACTCTCAAGAGTCTCCTCCAGCACCATAATTCAAAAGCATCAACTCTTCAGCGATCAGCCTTCTTTATGGTCCAGCTCTCAATTCCATACATCACTACTGGGAAAACCAGCAGAAGAGCTAGGGGTGAACCAATGGAGGAAAAAACTGAACAATATTATAATTTTAGAATACCTAACTGTGAAGATACATAGAATGAAAGGGCTTAAGGTCAGTGAGAAAGAGGAGGATTGGTTTGAGAAGATATTGAATTATTTGGGTAGGTTTGAACAATTTGGGGCAATTAAAATGTTAAAAGTTAAATAAACCTTGTGGAGGGAGGAGTGTTAAGGTATATAGAAGTGTACATACGGTTGATTTGAATATGTATATTATTGAATATGTATATTATTGAATATGTATACCCAACGTATCAGCCGCCTAGGGGGTTTCACTGTTTGTGTTCTGGTGGTTGGTAAAAAATAAAATAATTAAAAAAAAAACTTTACAAACCTCATTGAGATTCTTGCTAATAGTAAGCGGTCTAGAATTATTATTAAATAAATCAATGACAATAAACACCAAGCCAAACCACTGGTCCAACTAGTTCAGTATTGTCTGCACTGAATGGCAGCGGCTCTCCAGGATTTCAGATGGGGGTCCCTCCCAGCCTTACCTGGAGATTCTGGGGATTGAAACTGGGACTTCTGGCATGCAGTGGAAACTGTTGCAGTTAGATTGCCTATCTGTGGTTAGGAATGGAAATTGGTCAAGCAAATACTGTACAGAGTCATTCAATTGCAGGGGTGTTAAGTATGCAAATAATATGCAATTAATGGTTTTGTTGAACATGGTTTTGATGTTTGCTTTACATGGAAGTGAATGCAAGTTACATATCTTACATACCTATTTGCATAACTTACATAACCTACTGTATTTTTCGCTCTATAAGACACACTTTTCCCCTCCTAAAAAGTAAGGGGAAATGTGTGTGCGTCTTATGGAGCAAATGCAGGCGGGAGGCTATGCTCAGCGCTCCCTTTAAAGAACTGCATGGAGCATGTGTGCGGTTCTTGGGGGCTTTTCCCCGAGGAGGGAGAAGGGCAGCCCTTCTCCCAAGAGCCACACACACACTCCACACGCTCTTTAAAGGGAGCACGGCTCTTGGGGGAGCCTTCCTCCCACTGCCCGGGAGAGGCTGTGTGCGGCTATCCCATAAGCCAGGACAGCAAGCGGGATCACTGCGCTGCCATCCCGCTTGCTGTCCTGGCTTCTGGCTTAGCCATGTGCAGCCACTTCTGGGCAGAGGAAGCCTTCATCCCGCTGCCTGGGAGAGGCCGTGCATAGCTATCCCATAAGCCAGAACACCAAGAGGTTATCCCAGAAGCCAGATCCCTCTTGCTGTTCTGGCTTCTGGGATTCAGAATATTTTTTTTTTCTTGTTTTCCTCTTCCAAAAACTAGGTGCGTCTTATGGAGCGAAAAATACAGTATGTTAAATAGAGGGCAGGAAGGTAAGCATTTGGCAGAAAGTGGACTGCAGCAGCACAGAAACAACCCTGGTTGTGATGGAAGTTGGTACCTTTTTACATCCCTGAGCCCTAAACACTGAGAGCAAGTTATGGTGGTCAAGTTCCAGCTCTGACTGAAGTCCCAATTGCAAGTTAGACATCACACAGTATCCGGCTTTTTATAATATATAAAGCCAAGTCAAGCTACAGCCTCACATTGCAAGAACATCCAGCAGACTAGAAGAACAATAGACTCTGTTGGAAAATTCAGATCCTTTTAAAGGTGGCCCATTTATTCTGGGTACCAAGACAGAATAATTTAAGTGCCAGGCTCCAGGCACATCAGTTTGAAAAGAAATATCATTCCCGGTCTCCGTGATACTAATGAAATCGGATCGTTATCCATTTAGATTCATAGCCTGTTTTGTCTCAAGGCCCAGGGTGGGTGAATTGTTTCTTTATCAGGTTCATCAGCGCAACAATGCTGGGATGCAAAGTGGTGTGTTTTCACAAGAGCAGTCCTCAGATTACTGACATTGGGGTGGGCCAAAAGCAGTTTTGGGTGCTCTGATTGGTCCCTGGGGGACTTGCAGTAGATCAGTTGGCCCTGTCACATTATTAAACTGATGCTGAAGTTGCAAGCTTGATTGGGGTTGGGAGAAAATTAAATGCCACAGCTGGCCTGTTATCATTTATCATCCTCGCTATAGCCCACCTGTAAAATGGGCATATTTATTTACTGCTATTGACTATGTCTTTCTGGAGCTCTGTTGGCCAGGTTTTGAGGTTTTCTGATCTGCCATTAACTCAGTGGTGGAATCATAGAATTGTAGAGTTGGAAGGGACCATGAGGGCCATCAAGTCCAACCACCTGCAATCCAGGAATCTTTTGCCCCACTCAAACCCGCAACCTTGAGATTAAGAGTCTCATGCCCTACCGACTAAGCTATGGAGGCCAGTTTTTGGTGGTTTGTGTTTACAATACTTGTCATGAACTCAGAGGTAGTTTTGTATGAAGGAGGAAGCGACTGTCACCAACTAGGATGGCTTTAAAAGCAGATAGCACAAATTCATGTAGGAGGAGGCTATAGTAGCGCCTAGCCATGGTGACTAAGCTCTGCTTCCACAGCTGGAGGCAGTAACGTTTCTGAATACCACATCCTGGAAGCTGCAGGAGGGGATCATTGAAGCCTGCTTGTGGGTTTCCCACACACTCCTGGGTAGCCACTGTGAAAACAGGGTGCTGGAATAGATGGACCATTGGCTTGATCCAATGGTCTTCTTCTTTCAGTGCATGATTCAGTGTCTCAGTGCATGATTCAAGGGATGATTCAGGAAACTGGCTCTGCACCCCACCCCTATTTTACAACTGGGTTTGATGGGTAGAACCCAGACTCCTAATTAAAAGAGAGCAAAAGTACAGCAGACCCTCCAAACCTGAAATGGTGGGCTAGCCCGTGCTTCCCCATCCTCATGCCCTTCATCCCAGATAGTTAGCCATGCTCCCTGGGGCTGATGGAAACTGTATTTTAAAATATCAGGGTGGGTGAGTAGAATCAGGTTGGACAGCTTATGCCAGCAGTTCTCAACCTGTGGGTCCCCAGATGTTGTTGGACTACAACTCCCATCATTCCTAGCTAGCTAGGCCAGAGCTCAGGGATGATGGGAGTTGTAGTCCAACAACATCTGGGGACCCACAGGTTGAGAAAGACTGTGCTAGACTATCAGAAGCAGAGTGCTACCAACTAAGAACATGAGAGTTTGCTGGATCAGGCCAATAGCTCACCTAGTCTAGCATCTGTTCTCACGGTAGCCAAGCAACTGCAATGTAAGTTAACATAAGCACATTTATCACCCCGGAATTGCAAGGGACCCATTTCAAGGCGTCCTCAGTGGAGAAACATCTCCTTAATTCCCTTTCTTCCATGAGCTCTCGGGACGGTTTATATCAAACCTCAACAAATGGTGCATGGCAGATCATTTTTAGGCTGCCTTGTAAGCACTTCTCCAGTTTTAAACATTTTTGCAGTTTTAATCTGAATCGTTCGTTCTTCTATTTCCTCTCTCTCTCTCTCCCCCACCCTCCCCCCACCCCTAATTACGATGTGTTTCATTACACAGCTGTGCGAAGAGGCCTCCAGGCATTGGATGCATTTCTAAAATCAAAATAAAATAAAAATAAAAATAAAGAAAGGGAGCCTGCTAGCAGAAATCTTTCTATTCGTTATTCCTGGCAGCACTGAAAGGTGTAGCAAAACTAATGACTAACGCACTGTTAGATTTTTATAATGGAACAAATAATGGGGAAATAAAAAGTGAGTACAGATGAAAGCAGAGGCCTAACAGATGATATGAGAGAGAGAGAGAGAGTATAAGACGGAGAATGAATACTAAAAACACCTATATAAAGAAATGGTTAGGAGCAGGAGGAGAGTAGCTGCATATAGAATGGTGTACAAACAAGGAAAGTTTCTATACAAAATCTCAGGGCATCTCTACATCAGAAGGTTAAGCTGATTTAATAATCATACCTCACCCCCAGAAAGCCTGCTGGGTAGGGAGACACATGTCTCTAACATTACTTAACACCCTCACCAAGCTACTATTCCCCTAGAGTGAGACATGGCACTATATCAGTGCAAATTGGTAGTGTATGTATGTCTGACAAACCCGTAGATGATGATGTAATCCAACAGCACCCCCTAGAGTGTCTGAGATTTGGCACTCCCTGCAATGAACCCTGGACAGGCAGATACCTTGGGTTTTATTTCCAAGTCTGGCCCTTTCACAGTAGTCAAGTAGCCCAAACTGGTTAGTTATTTTGTAATGCAAATCGGGGCAGTAAATCCAAAATTCCTTATTTTGGTAATATTTGCTAAACAAGAGTGCAGTCCAGCAGCATCTGGAAGACAAAAGGATTCCCTATACCTGCTCTGAGTGGACATCTAACAAGATAATCCACAACACACACTCAACGGGTTGGGGGTTAGGGATGGAGGGTAACTTCCAAAGACCCAGCACAGGGAGCTGAAAGCTGAGTAATTCAAGCAACGCTAGCGTAAGGTTACCAGATTTTTTAAAAAAAGAATCCAGGGAAACTTTTTTTTTGAAAAGAGAGAAAAAAAGTTATTTTAAAAAGTTATTTTTAAAAAAATAAAGAAGAAGTAATATCTTCTCTTCTGTAGTCTCCTCTGTTGTGCGGCCTTCCTCTCTTGGAGTGCTCGCTGCCATGGAGTAGGCTCGGGTCAGACCTGGGCTCGGCCACGTGTCCTTGCCCACACGGTACTCTCCTACCTCTCCTCCTCAGCAGCAGTGGCAGCAGCGGCACGGCAAGGTCAGGGCCCCCCTTATTTTTCTCCTTCCTCTTTCTCTCTCTTCCTTCTCCTTCTCCCTGCATCGGCTCCAGGGTTTTCCTGGCCCCAGAGCACTGCTGGGCAGTCAGTTGGGTGGCCAGGCACTCTCGCTCCCAACTCGATTTGGGTCGCGGGGGTCAGTGGTTTCCCCAGTTGATGCACTGAGCGTCCCCAACTCCCCCTCGGCAGTGGTGGCAGAGGTGGCAGTCTCAGCAGCCCAGAGTCAGCCTGGCAGCCTGGCTCTGGCTGGCTTCAGTAGCTGCTCGCTGCCATGGCGCCCGCCATTTTGCCTCTCCAGAATTCCCCATATGATGTGTCTTGTGCCGTTGAACCAATCACGCAACATTCATTCCCTACTAATAAATCTACAACACTTAAAATATAAATCCGGGGACATTAAATGAAATCCGGGGACATTCCGGGGACGGATTTGTCCGGGGACATATTTGTAAATCTGGGGACTGTCCCCAGGAAACGGGGACGTCTGGTAACCATACACTAACAAGATTTTAAGCAAGCCTTCCCCAAAGCCAAAACAAAAGGCCACAATTTATTAGTAGTAGTGGATTAATTTACTACTATTCCTATCTCAATATGTTCTCAATGACCAGCAAATAAGGTGGCCCCTGATATATGAAGGCAGTTTGTTGACTGCCTCAAAAAAACATATTTTGCTGAGTTGGAAAAGGTTCAGAAAAGGACAAGCAAAATGGTCAAGCGGCTGAAGCAATCTCGCCTATGAGCAAAAGCGGCAGCATATGGAGCTCTTTACTTTTGAGAAAAGGCAAGTGAGACACGATATAACTTTATACAATTAGGCATTGGAGAGAGCCGATAGAGAAAAGCTGTTCTCTATCTATCTGTCATGGACATCTAATGAAGCTGAATGTTAGAAGGTCCAGGACAGATAAAAAGAAAGTCACTTCTTCACGCAGTGCATAACTAAAGTATGGAACTCTCTCCCACAGGGGGCAGCAATGGCCACCAACCTGGGTAGTTTTCAAAGAGGATTGGACCAATTTCCAGAGGATAAGGCTATCAATGACTACTAGCCATGGCAGCTATGCTCTGCCTCCACAGCTGGAGACAGTGATACTTCTGAATACCAGTTTCTGGAAACCGCAGGAGAGGAGAGTTGCTCTTGTGCTCAGGTCCTGTTTGCAGGCTTCCCACAAGCACCTGGTTGCCCACTGTGAGGACAGGATGCCGGACTAAAAGGGCCACTGGCCTGATCCATGTGGGGATGATTAGGGAGGCAGGAGAGGATACATTATTTAATGAGATGCTTCCTAACTTGCACTAGCAAGTTCCATATTCTAGCAGAGTTCCAAACATCCCCCTTTTTAAATTACGCAGCGATCAGCTTGTTGCTGACTCATCTGTCTTACTATGAAAGATTCCTTCCTGGTAAAATCCCTTCTAATCCCTCTTAAAAAGAATAAACACAAGAATCTGATTGACGCTAATATAAAAGTAGTTTACTCACAGATTCATTCAGGTTCACAGACATATCCCTGAAGGCAGGCTTAGGTTACATAACAACTACAGTCATATCTCGAGTTGCGTCCGCTTCATGTTGCATCTTTTTGCATTATGTCCCACGGCAACCTGGAAGTACCAGAATGGGTTACTTCCAGGTTTTGCCGCTTGCGCCTGCGCAGAAGCGCCAAATCACGCTGCCTGCCTGTGCAGACGCAGCACTTTGAGTTACGGGCATTTCACGTTACGGGCAGGCCTCCGGAACGGATCCCGTCTATAACACGAGGTACCACTGTAGAACTATTCCATAAAGAAGTTCGTCCCAAGTGACTGCGACTAAGCACACAGCAACATACAAAATGGAGAACACACACTGATCAGAACATGGAGGCCGTGTGCTCCTCCATCGAAGTACAACAGACCACACCTTCTTCAAGTAACATGTAGTGGAAGTCTGTCCCAGCTCAGCAGGAAACAGGAAGTCTTCTCCTGAGTGGTACAAAACATCCCCTAACATGTCCACTGTAGGAATGATGTACTTGACTGCTGTTTTACATCCCGCAATCCAGAAGGTTCTTCTTACGTTCTTAACGCCCACTAACAAGATTTTAAGCAGACATTCCCCAAAGGCAGAAACAGAGGCTGTGATTTATTAGTGGTATTGGGAGTAGTAAATTAATTTATAAATCACCTTTAACATATAGCTCAAGGTTTTTCCTCAAGGACAACGGCCAGACAATAGGGCTGTCCCCAGAGAATAAAGGCAGTGTATAAATATAGCCAGGGGACAGAAAGTTTTTGTCCTGCTACCACCCCCTTTATGGCATTTGCGAGCATCAGTCAAAGACGGTGTTCTCCTCCCCCACCCCAAAATACGCCATGACAGACTCCCGCAAGTCTCCAAGCTACGAACTGATTCTTTATACAGTAAGATAATTGTCTCAGCCTCCTAAGGATAAATATGTCAAGATAGAAAAACCATTTCTTTTTTTCCCCCTTCCCAGCAAGGCAAGGATGTGATTGAAAATGTCATGCTCCGGGCGTATGAGCAATATTCTCGTAAGTCGTCGTCCCAAATAAATTGTTCCATCATTTGTACTATTTAGAAGCCATCCCCCAAAATCAGACAAGCTGGGGAGGGGGGGAGAAGCAAAGCGAGTTTAAACACACCAAATGTTTGGTTGTTATCATGGACCTGATTTGAGCATACAAACGCGTCTGTCGACCGATTTCTCTGCTCTCCGGCAGCAGCTGAATGTTGGGCTGGCCCCAGATATTTTGCTGCCTCAACACTGCGCTGCCTTTCCCTTCTCCAATCAATGCGAAGGTCCATATGCTGCCCCGGGGCTTTTTGGAGAGGAAGGAAGGGCTACTGTTATGTACTGAGTTGAATAGGATCCAAAATGCAGCAGTCTGATTGGTCCTAGAACAATAGGATCCAAAATGCAGCAGTCTGGTTGGTCCTAGAACAATAGGATCCAAAACGCAGCAGTCTGATTGGTCCTAGAACAATAGGATTCAGAATACAGCAGTCTGATATACGATATATGATATATACGATATACAATATATACAATATATACAATATACGATATCTTTATTGTCATTGTCCCATGCAGAACAATGAAATTGACTATAAATAATTCGTCCTAACAAACCCTGACTCCCCTCCAGGGAGCTCTCAGCCGCAGCATCTGCACGCGCCGCCATCTTGGACTTCACGGCAGTAATGATTGGTCCTAGAACAATGCAGCAGTATGATTGGTCCGCAGGAGCCACCCAATCCAGCTCCAGGTGGAAGTGAATCCACACCTGATTGGCCTACAGGAGAATCCCGGAATTAGCCAATCATGTGGGGCCCATTGTGTAAATAACGTATATAAAGCAGATATTGTGGGGGAACTTCCATTCCTCCTCACCACTATGAGCTGAATAAAGAGCATGAAATCCACTCTCAACTCCAAGTATATTTCAGCTACAAATTCAATAAAGAAATAATACAACTTGGTAGCTTCATGTGTGAACTCAAACCACTGGCCCAGTCCTCAAACCCTGTCTGCCCAACCCACCCCCAACCAAAGTTTTAGAATGAAAGGAATTATACTCTTAATTATACCTTTACAAACGCACTCAGGGATCAAGGAACCACGGCAGGGGACAGAGGAGGGGAACAGGCCTGAGCAAGACAGTTTGTTTTCTCACAATTGCTGTAAAAAAATTAAAATCCTTGGAATCTAAGATCAGAGAGAAATAATCAGATGGCCTAAGCATTTTGCATCTGTCACTGCTGTTCCCCAAAACATGTTCATAAAATCACCCAACTCATTGCCAAGAAACTTCAAAGTCAAATCACAGAGAGCACACATGAGATGATGGCAATTCACTTTTCTTTAAATAAAAACACCCCCAAATTGGTGTTCTAACAAAAACACACACACAAAAAACAGCTTGGAGCCAGAAGCAATATTCAGAAAAAAACCCAGTTTAGATGATGATGGTGACACTAATAAAAATAATGTGTGTAAACATGCATTCTATTTGGATCAAATCTTTAGCTGTGTTATGGCTCCTGTTGGTGGGAATGGCTGAGAGTGAGGTTTGTATGTGGAATAGTCGTAAGAGTTGGTCTGGGAGACATCACTGCTGCGAACGGAGAATGTGGGTGAAACTTCTCTCTCAGTTATTTTGTCCAATTGCTAATGAAGCTTTATATGAAGACTTATTTTTATTTTGGGTATCTTTGTATTTGATTTTCGCTTGCAATGTGCTTTTTTATGTTTAAGAGAATGTTTTGCTTTCCTGTTATTATCCTGCTTTTTAAATGCAGGTCTTTTATTGCGCTCTGTGCTCGATTTTCATTTGTAATGTTTCGTTGTGATATATTGTAATTTCTATTTGATATTTTGTTAAGACAGGTTGCAAACTGTTGAGGAGAGACTGAGAGAGATAGAGAGAGATGAGAGCAGGGAAACGATTTAATTAAATAAGTGAGAGTGTGTGTTTAAGGCAGGTGGCAAGCCATTTAGAGGCTTTTGAGGGAACAGAAATGATTTAATGAATCAACTGGTGTGTGTGTGTGTGTGTGTGTGAGAGAGAGAGAGAGAGAGAGAGCATGTGTCTATGAGCGCACGCGCGCGCACACACACACACACACACACACAATCTATAATTAAATTATATCGTATGTTTCCTCCCAGGAGCTCAAGGTGGTAGACATGGCTCTCCCCCTCTCCATATTCTCCTCAAAAAACGCTGAGAGGCACCAACTATCTCAAGGTCACCCAGTGACCTTCATGGATGAGTGGGAAATCGAACTCCAGTCTCCCAAGAACTAGTCTAGTACTCTAAGCATTCCAACACACTGTATATAGCACAACCACAAAGAAAATTAGTCTCTAGGAAAAAAATATCCCTCTTTCTCCTTGGCTTCCTCCCCCCAACCCCCCAATGAAAAGGTGCAGCTCAGATGCATCGCCTTATGCCCAAGGTTGGACAGCCTTGGAAGGTAGCGGTGGTGTATTCACCTTCATCTGAGCTTCTTCGGCAGAAGTTAGATGGCCCTCTGCCATGGATTCTTTAGCTGACATTCCTGCATTGCAGGGAGTTGGACTAAATGACCTTTGGGGATCTCTTTCAACTCTACAGTTCTATAAGTCTATAATATCCCTCTCCTTTGTGAATCCTCTTAGAAGGCTTTGGAAGCCTGTGGCCACAGCCACGTCCTGCAGTGGTGCAAGCAGGCATTCCACCATCCCCTTTCAATCGACTGTCGTGAATCTCCTTTCAATCATGATCAATGTGTTCCAGTATTACAAAGCGGGAGGGAGGGAGAGAGAGAAATGTCACTATCCACCATCAGGCATAATTTTAGAAACATATTCAAGATGAGAGTGACATTGGGAGAGGTGCAGTCTTGCTGCCTCATCCACATCCACACAAAACGTGAGAAGTCATATAAAAGGTACTATCAAAATGACCGTGTGCGATTGTGTTGTTTTGAATCCGTAAAAGCCTCTTTGCCAGATCCACTAACAAACCTGCAGCAAAGAGAGAGGGGGGGGCGAGGGGAGGTGGAAGAGAACTTCTAACAAACAGGGACATTTCCCTGTAAAGCAAGCCCCCTAAATCCACAAAGACAAAAGGCACTGGATCAAGTTCAAACATCCCCCCTGGTGAAATCCTTGTCTCCATCTACTTAAAACCTCTGAAGCATTAGCCATTTGAAAATGGTCGTCAAGAGAAAGCGAAAAGGACGTAGGAAGGACTGGTTTCAATGGGGGAAGGGGGCTGTCTGTATGCATAAGGAAATTAATTCTTCAATTTATACAAACACCCTGGGAGAAAAATATTTCCTCCCCACCACCACCAAAGAAAAAAGAAAAAATATTACAGCTTTCTAGAACGGCGCACTTGCCATAACACTACTTAAGAAGTGATATAAACATCCAGGCATGCAAGTGTGCAAGCTTGAATTAACGATGCGCCTTCTATGGAAGCACACAAGGCGTGTAGCACACAGGCAGGGCACGTACCCACAGATGGAAAGCTTCGAGCCAGAGCCACCCCAGTGAAAAAGAAGGGAATGTAGGGGGCAGCGGAAACTCAGGGACCCTGAGCTGATTGAACTCCCTACAGGGAAAGCACAAATCCCCTTTCCGCCACTCCTGCAAACCTTTAAGATAAGACCCCCTCACACACACACATCTCAGGTCCTCTTATCTCACTGAGTTTCCCTCAATTACACTACAGTGGTACCTCTGGTTGCGAACAGGATCCGTTCCGGAGCAACCTGAATGAAACACAACCTGCATCTGCGCACCCGCGGGTCGTGATTCGCCACTTCTGCGCATGCGCACGACGTCATTTTGCGCGCCTGTGTATGTGCGAGCGGTGAAACCCGGACGTAACCCTTTCCGGTACTTCCAGGTCACCGTGGGACGCAACCTGAAAAGACGTAACCCGCAGTGTTTGCAACATGAGGTATGGCTGTACAAACAAGTTTTAGGAGCAAGGAAAGTGTTCAATGTTGGGAGACTCCAAATGGATCAAGGAAAGTACTTCTTCAAGCAGTGCATATTTGAACCGTGGAACTCTCTCCCACAGCAGGCAGTGATGGCCATCAACTCGGAGGGCTTTCAAAGACGATTGGGCAAATCTTTGGAAGAGAGGCCTATCAAAGGCTACTAGCCACGATGCCAGTGCTCTGCCTCCACAGCTGGAGATGCATCTGGAAACCACAGAAGAGGAGAGTGTACCTGTCCTCAGGTCATGCTGGTGGGTTTCCTACAGGCATCTGGTTGGCCACTGTGAGAACAGGATGCTGGGAGTTAGATGGGCTACAGGCCTGATCCAGCAGGCCCTTCTTATGTACTTACGAAAAGGGGCTGCTATTTTAATTTGGAGGAAGGAAGAACAGAATTCCTCTTCCACCCCAGACCTCTGTCCCCGCTGTAGCTCAGTGGTAGAGCACCTGCTCTGCATGCAGAATGCCCCACGTTCAATCCCAGGGGTCTGGAACATTCAATCCCTGAGGGGGCTGGAAGAGACCCCCTGCCTGAAGAGCTGCTGCCCGTCCGTGAAGACAGTACTGAGCCAGATGGACCAATGGTCTGACCCAATAAAGGGCAACTTTCTGTGTTTCTTTGTTGCTGCCTTGCAGAGAAAATGAGTGACACTTCCTCCAAATCAGGAGGATGCTGTGAGAGATTCTTGAGCTAGGCTTGCTTCTAGCCTGTGTGGGTTTTTTTCTTCTTCTTCTCCTAGACAAGTTGGCTTTGCACACAGAATGAGATTTTGGCAACAGTGGTGAACACCTGGTGTGTAGGAGACGGCAGCACAAGTGGCACCCAAACTCTCGGATCGGGTCACCAGGGACAGCAAATCCACTCCCGAGTTTGAGGCAAGAAATCAAAAAGGCACAGTGGTCAATCAATAAAGGGCCTAATTAACAGTTATAATATTATTAACTCGAGCAAAATGCTCCCCCCACCTCTTCGGCAAATGGTAATCTTGTCCTCTTTCATTAGTTGACAAAACACAAGTCAAGTTATCGACCCAGGAAATGAGAAACACAGAGAGGAAGGTGGAGGAGGACAGGGGAGACCGGCAATTACTGAGCCATCAATGTCATTATAGGGTGAGAGGTTGCAGAGCCTAGTGGAGAGATAATGCTACGGAATAGTTCTACCTGCATAGAGTCACAGAACTGTAGTACTGGAAGGCACCCCCAGGGTCATCTAGTCCAACCCCCTACAATGCAGGAATCTCTACTAAAGCATCCATGGCATCCAACCTCTGCTTAAAAACCTCTGATGAATGAGAACCCACCACCTCTTGTGGGAGTCTGCTCCAATGCTGAACAGCTCTCGCTGCCAGAAAGCTCTTCCTGATGCTTAGTCAGAATCTCCTTTCTTGTAACTTGAATCCACTGGATCACGTCCTACCCTCCAGGGCAGGAGAAAACAAGCTTGCTCCATCTTCCACGTGACAGCCCTTCAGATATCTGAAGGTGCCTATCAAATCTCGTCTTCTCCAGACTAAACATACTCAACTCCCTCGACTCTCCCTCTTTTCCAGCTCTTGATCCTCTTCTGCACGGACAAAATGATCTGTTGGAACGTAAGAAGAGCCTGCTGGATCAGGCCAATGGCCTATCCCATCCAGCATCCTGGTCCAACAGTGGCCAACCAGTTGCCCAGCATGGGAAATCCACAAGCAGGACTTGAAGCACAAGAGAGCACTCTCCCCTCCTGCAGTTTCCAGCAACTGGGATTCAAAAGCATCACTGCCTCCAACTGTGGGGGGCAAAGCACAGCCATCAGGGCTAGTAGCCATCAACAGACAAATTCATGGAGGAAAGGGTTAAGCCTCTTTTAAAGCCATCCAAGTTGGCAGCCATCCCTGCCTCCTGTGGGAGTGAGATCCAGCCTAGATAGGGAGGAGGCAGCAGACTGTCAGAAGGCAAGAGACTGTCAGACATGGAAAAGGCACCCAAAAGAGTATTGTAGCAGAATAGGATGCCAGGGAGGAGGTGCCAAGCTTTGGGAAGGATATTTAAGGCTCTGGTCGGTTCCTAGAGCCCTCTCATCTCCTTCCCAAAGCTGTGAAAGTTCTAACTTTGGGGGGAAAGGTAAAAAGGTAAAGGACCCCTGGATGGTTAAGTCCACTCAAAGGTGACTATGGGGTTGCGCTGCTCATCTGTCTTTCAGGCCAAGGGAGCCGGCGTTTGTCCACAGATAGCTTTCCGGGTCATGTGGCCATCGTGACTAAACTGCTTCTGGCACAACAGGACACTGACGGAAGCCAGAGCACATGGAAACGCTGTTTACTTTCCTGCCACAGCGGTACCTATTTATCTACTTGCACTGGCGTGCTTTCAAACTGCTAGGTTGGCAGGAGCTGGGGCAGAGCAATGGGAGCTCACTCTGTCGTGGGGACTCGAACCAGCGACCTTCTGATTTGCAAGCCCAAGAGGCTCAGTAGTTTAGACCACAGCGCCACCCACATCCCTAACTTTGGGAAGGAGGAAGGAGGATTCTAGGACCCTCTCAGAGCCCTCAAGCCTCCTTCCCAAATCCCAGCACTTCTCTGGCTTTGGGCAGACAGCACAAAGACTTGAGTGTGGATCTGTCAGATGTTGCTGAGGGCTGCCAAAAGGCCTCAGTGCTGCATGCGCCACCACCTCTGGCCACACATTGGACCACCCTTTCCTTGAGGATTTTCCACAGGCATCTGGTTGGCCACTATGAGAACAGGAAGCTGGACTAGGTGGGCCACTGACTGGCTCTTAAATTCTCAGAACTTTATTCTCATTTTTAATGGGAGCATACGGAGTGTAGCGATTCACCCACACAGCTCTCTCTATACTGCCTTTTCATCTCTTTCTACTCCCCGCTCCCCCTGCAGAGTTCAGGCCACCTTTCTACATCCTTCAGAACTCTGCAAAGAGAGAGCAAGCGATGGAGTCGTACGATTATCGGAGGAAAATCTGCTCCTTTGCAAGTCCAGGAGGAATGGCTTGGAAGTGACAGAGAGTGCTAGCTTCACATGAATGCAGCTCCCTTTCCCACCCAAATGGCTAAGAACCACATACCCACCTCCCAGCCTGATTTGTTTATCATTTATTTATTTATTGTTTAGAGCATTTGGTGCCCCACTCTTCAGCCAAAAAGATGCACAGAACGGTTTATAATCCATTAAAGCAAAACAGCTCCTGTCCACAGGCTTACAATTTAAAACAAAAACCACGACACACAAGGAAAAGGGGACAGGAAAGGGAAGAGGAAAAGATTTTGAGAGGAAGTAACATGCCTAGTTAAGTTCAACTGACCCTGAATTTACTAGAAGAATTTATTTTCTCCCAGTTCACTTATACAGTGGTACCTCTGGATGTGAACGGGATCCGTTCCGGAGCCCTGTTCACATCCAGAAGCGAACGCAAACCACATCTGCGCATGCGCAGGTCGCGATTCGCTGCTTCCGCCCATGTGCGTGATGTCATTTTGAGCGTCTGCGCTTGTGCGAGCAGCGAAACCCAGAAGTAACGCATTCCGTTACCTCCGGGTCGCGGTGGAGCGTAACCTGAAAATGCTCAACCTGAAGCATATTCAACCCATGGTATGACTGTATATCGTGTTTTGAGCTTTTGGGGAGGGATTAGGCTGAATGCCTGGGCCCCCCTCTAATTCCTGGAACATCCAAGCTAACCATTAAGGGGAACAAAGGAAGTGGCTCTGTGCGAAACAGCAAATGGGTGCGGCAGGACAAATGAGTTGGGAAATCAAAGCCAGAGGTGAGGAAAGCAGAGAGTTTGGAGTGATTTGAGCTAGAAGCAGTGCCTTTTTTCTAGAAAAACAAATCTATTAAACTGTCTATGGCCTTTTAAACTGCAGGGTGTGTGTGTGGATATTGTTTTTGTTTGTTCTTGTGATCTTTGGATGAAAGGCAATATAGAAATAAAATAAATAAAATATTACTTTTTGGAACATAACTTTCTCTTATCTTGATTATTTCTCAAGTTGCAAACGTAGTTCTGTCAAGGAGCTTCTCACGTGACCAGATGAGCACTTGCTCTGATGAGTTTGCACAGAGTTCAGATTATGTCTGGTCATTATACCAAGCATTTGTTCAGATTTGTTTGTGGGGAGGTTATAAAACAAGGAGCCTTCATCCAGATTTGCTTGCACGTTGGGGATATATACAGTGCTTTTGCTCTTAAAAAATGTTTAGGGGTACTCTCATTTTCCTACTCATACTGAAATATTGCCCCTCAGTGAGGCCAAACTTAGATTCACAAAATGTTTGGCGTATGCGTACCCCAGCATCGCCCCAGAAAAAAGCACTGGAGATGATAGATTAGATAGATAGATAGACAGATAGATAGATTTGTTGTGCCAAGAGACTTACATCCACTTTAATTTGCACAAACCTAAATTTACAGCATGCATTTCAATCCTTCCCATAAAATACTGACAGTCTGGAGGCAAGCGAGGATTTAACTGCAACAATATCTCTGGAGTTTGAAAACACTGGGATCCATATCTTTACTCCCTTTGGATCATCCGCCCATTTCCAACCTTATCATTATTAGCTGAAAGCAAACGCCTCTGAATTTTTCACCCATTGTTGGGAATAATCCATCATAGAAAATGTGTGAGCTGTGACATGTTAAAAACAGAAGATATGCAGATTTGGGGACGATGTGCCATACACATTATGAAAATACATTCTCAAGGACAATTAAATACAGGGATTATTGACTGGTTAAGCACCAGCTCAATGGGTTTGCTGCAAGTGTGTCTTCAGGAAATTCTCAAAAATGTGGATTAATTATCTAACACACTAGAACAACTTCCCACCCACCCACCCCCAATAGGTTTTTGTGCTGGTTTGTTGCATAAAAGAAATAGCCTGGAGAATTTAGGGTGAGTTTCAATTGCCGCGTTTCTCTGGTTGACTAGACTGATAGAGAAAGAAATGTATTATCGAATTAAATAAAAACAAAAATGGGTTTGTGGCACCTGGAAGACTAATAAGTTTATTATGTAATAATAATTTCATCAGATGCATGTACTGCTATCTCAAGATACACACACAGAGAGAGAGCTTTTGTGGGGATTGCAGACAGTGAAGTCAGAGGGAAATGAAAATGTAGAAAACGACACACAGTAATCAAGTCATCAACACTGGGGAGTACCAAACAAACAAACCAAAAAGTTGTTGGCAAAACATAAAAGTTGGCATTGGTAGCCAATTAACACTTATAATTTTGCTCAAATTCCTTTGTTCAGTTCAAATGAGATAGCTTTGAACCTCTTGATATGTTGCAATTCAGCAATTTTAAGTTGTAGTTTCCTTTTGAAGCTTATATTCTCTGGGATGGCCACAGGATGTCCTGAGAGGTTGTTCTATATTACTACAGTGGTGCCCCGCAAGACGAATGCCTCGCAAGACGAAAAACTCGCTAGACGAAAGGGTTTTGCGTTTTTTGAGCTGCTTCGCAAGACAAATTTCCCTATGG